AAGTTGGGCCAACTTTGTAGTTTACTGACACATTTCAACAGAGAGAAGTAGAATTCAAGTATTCAGAAATATCAAATAGACACATTTTCTTTTTTTGTTGCATTATAGTCTATAGGATACTTTTAAAAATATAATAACTTTCCTATATAGGATAGTCATTTATAAAGTTCATAATTGCTTCTTACCTCTGACTCTTTTGGGGAAATTAAAATAGTCTTAATCTTTTTTGTTTTTCAGATCAGAGAGAGATGTTAAGTGAAGGGGTTCTTTGGCAGCCTTCTTATATCTTGGCGCAGTAATTTTTATTGCATTTTAAGCACTGAAGAGGATTTCTCTCAATGTATTGAAAACAATTTAATTGAAAGAATATGATTTTTCCAAATTCACAATGTTCTTTTCTAGGAGCCAGAAAATGATTTTTTTTCCATGTAATAACATCATAAAAATTCTAATCACCAAGAAGAAAAACCAGCCAAAAGTTTGCACATTCTCTTTTTTTCCCCTTTACTTGCACTTTTAAGCAGAATTCAAATTTGACTCAAACTATGTTTAACCTGATGACCTCAAGTGATGTCACTGTGCACAGAGTTACTGTTGTTATGTAACAACTGGAAAATTTGTTGTAGTCTACCGAGGCTGATATAGGAGGAATTATGAGATTTTAAAATTCTGTTCAGTTGGATTATCTAGGAAGAACTTTGGGCCTACGTTGAAATACAATTAAAGTTTCTTTGTGACTTAAGGGTAATAAAATCCTTTTTCCTTTTTTAATGGAATGCCATTGAACACGATTCCCAAACAAAAGTAGGATTATCCAAGGGATTAGTAGATGCTATTAATTTTCCTTTAATACTAGCTAAAAAAATTAAGCCAAAGAGCTTGACCAAGTATACTCACTAATACAGTATTAAGTGAACTGTTCAAAAGGAAAACATAATTATTAATTTGAGGAATGATTTCATTCTACTAATTAGCCACGTGATTAAGATTTGGGGTTGTTTTCTTTTTATTTATTTTTCTTTAATTATTTAGTTTATGAATCTGACATGGTAATATGTATTATAACTGGAAATAAGGTGGTGAATTTAGAGGCAAAAATGTATTTTTTTGTTAATATAAAATAAGACATGTCCAGATATGTGAATTCTTATTCATGTCAAAAGATAAACAACTTACACTCTATCTATATACTCTGTAGTATAGATTTTAATATACTACTTTTAAATATTAAATCATTGGTTTTTATTAAATATGTTTTTAAATATTTGAAATGTAATGATCATATTCAGCAACCACCAATTTGAAACACTTTACATATTCTACAAGAATATTACATTAATTTTTTAATTAACATTTTTCTAGAGTCTTTGTTTCATATTATACTTAGATTTGTTTCCTCTATTTCAGAATAAATGTCTCATAGCAGTGCTTTTACACTTTGCTTTCTTTTTGTAGCTTCTTGTCTTCTGTGAACTTGCTTGACAGTTGTTCTAGGAATATTCAACTGTACTTAAAGATTACTATAAATACACACTCTATACAGTGGCAGAGCTTTGAGAATCCTGAGCTTTTAAAGTTTCAATCTACCTAATCATTTCCATTCATGATTTTTTATTGTACCACTGCAAAGACAAATCATGTTTGCTTGATTGCTGTGCTCAAAACTTAAATGAATAGCTGTTTTTCATGGTTATTTAAATTAAAAAGGAATTAGCAAATATAATTATTATACCAAACTTACATTCAAATGATTTTGTAAAAGTTCTTAGAGAATAGTGACTAAATATACCTTTCATGCCTTCATCCATAAATACAGTTACATTTTGAAGGATTTATTATCATAATTTTTGTTCAAGTTAATACTAAAATATCTTCTATAGTCAATCCATCCTCAACAGAAATACTTGGAACGCATTCCAAAGAGAGAGAACCTGGCAAGTACGTAGTGGTCTGAGTAATAATGAAGAATGGAATTTAAATGGTGACTTACCCTCCTGATTTTGAGGGATTTCAGGGTAAAACTGTAGAGTCCTGGACAAACTGCAATCAGTGGCCAGTGGATGTATTAATTGTTGATGTGTAGTGTTTCAAAGTTTCCCTAAAGGTAGTGAACTGAATATTAATATATTTGAATTTTATTTGTATAAGATATATATATATATATATATATATATATATATATATATAAATATAAAACATGGAGATATTATTGCTTTCCTTTGTCATATTCTATCCTATCTGATAAGGTTTTGGAGTTTTGGTGAATACTTAAAAAGCTCCAGATAAATGAAGAGAATTTATATTTTTCACATGGAGCAGTTACTAAATAGAAAAATAAGACTTCCTGCTCTAGAGGCACTTGCCCTAAGTGTAGTGAAGAGTGACCGTGGGCAGTGTAATGTCTCCAGGTAGTTACTGTAAAAAGAATCATCATATAATATTGTCATGTCATTTCTTTCATTTCCAAATGTCAATTTCTATCATTCATTAGTAAAATAGAGAAAGACAACTTCAACTGACTCTTGTAGCCTACTTGAATTTTTAAACAACACACTAAATTAAAAAATATATGTTTTTTAGTTTTAGATGTTCAGAAAAAAACTAAAATTTAGAACACAGTCCAATCTTCTGGTTCTTTTCCTGGTTTCCAAACACAATTAACTGGCATCCAGAGCTCTGACTATTTTCATCGTTCTATAGGAATAACATTTCCCAGATCTTTCTGTAGCTTCCTCTTTCTCAGCCACATGCCAAGTGAGCTGTCAGTCTGCTGAAGGTTTCTACTGAGAATTTACCATTCATAGCATGTTTCTTGTTACCGTTAGCTTTCAGTGATGTTACCTTGTTTTTACTTCTCATGTAAATCTCATCAATATCTAAAAATGCCTTCCCCTTATTTATTTATTTATTTATCTGTTTATTTCCTGTTTGTCCTCCTATTTAAAAAGTGCTGTTCTTCAGCCTATTGCAATGCTTGTGATGGACCAAGAGCTCAGTCGTCTGTAACTCTTTGGTGTGAGTCTCTCCTAGGACTATTCAATCACCCATGCTAATAGTGATGGACACTATTTTTCTAGGTGCCGGAGTTACTATCTGATATGTAAATGAGAATGCAAATGTCTTCTGAAAAATGGGTGTTTGACACTCTGCAGATCTGTCAGTAGCATCACAAAAATAAGACTCAAATATTAATAGGTTTCTAATACTAATTTTCTTTAAAATCATTTTATGTTAAATAATTATGTTAATTTACCCTTTGGAAGCTTATTATGGAATTTTCACAGATTCAGTGTATTTTAATTGCAGTCATTTTTCTTTCAATACTCAGAAATGTACTACTTTCTACATATTTTCCATAGCTTCTTAATATCTCAAAGCTTCATTTCTTCTTGACTCAGCAAGATGTTCCTGTTTTCATTTGTACAGCCCTGTTCCTAATATGATATCAACCACCTTTCCTAAGATTTCTCAGTGGAAAATCAGTAGGAAAGAACAGAATCTATGTATTGCCTGAATTGATTCAAGTTCATGTCCAGAGAGAGAGATGTAGAGAAGATTTTATAAACAGGGACATGGGAAGCAAAAAGATATTTAAATTGACTGATGATTTTGATAAAATATTTATAATTCAGTTCTAATATGGAAGAGCTTTTACTTTTTACACTTTGTATTTTTCTACCTTCTCTCTTATACTGGATAATTAGCTTGCTAATGAAAATGGCATACTCATTTGCTCTGTGAGAGAAAAATAGCCAGAAGAAAGCAATTCAATATTAATGTGAGTAATGAAAGTACTGAATAAACTCAAGATTCTCTCCACATTTCCTTTGGATCTTTGATAGCATCTGACTTTATGTGCATAGTAACGATACTTTTTTTTTTTTTTTACAGGTGTCCACCAGCTGTCATTTATGTAAATACACAGTTGCTATCTAAAGGGCCATTTAGTCAATAATTTTAATTTTCTTTCTACTTGTGGGCATTGTTACTATAATACTTGTTTATTATAACTCTTAAAATGGTGAAAGCTTTAAGACAATAGGATTTTCTTGGTAATTCATCAACAACTAGAGGAAAAGAAGGGTTTACACACTAGTACAATATCAGGCAATAAGGAAATTCCAGCATAATAATTCCTCAGGTTCTGTACATGTATTTTATTTGATCATTGTTTAGCTTAGCTACATAATGGCTTATTGTAGAATTAATAAGTTTATACATATAATACATATATGTGTGTGTGTGAGTGTATGTATGTATTCTAACCAGACAAAGGCATATATAGTGAACAGAAAATTTCTGCATATTACTGTTTAATACTTAGTAATATTATGACACTCTTATTTTCATATTTTAATTTGACCAGATTTCTTTCTGCATTAGAGCTATTTAATTTGTCTAGCTCCTTTTTCTGCTCTTCAATTTGCTTTTTATTTTTATAATACATTAAATATATCTTTAGTACTTTGTATTATGCTAAGTGTTGTTATACTAATCCCCGGTTCTATGCAGCCTTTCCAATGGATCTAGATAAGGGGCAGATGTCAGTAATATCAATGAGCCTGATCCATACAGCCCTTGGTAAACGGGTGTGCTTTTATGCTCAGTTCAAAAGTAAGCTGTGTGTTATAAAACCTAAATGTGTAATGGGCTATCCAGTCTGGATATGTGTGCCTAAGAAGTGAAATCTGTATCTACACAAGGAAAAAGTGGTAGTCATTTCTCAGTGCAAAGGGTTGTGATTAAGTGATGCATAATTTTACAGTGAATGAAGGAGCAATGTAAGTAGGAGCCAGTGGGAACTGCAGGGCCCAAGAAGGAGAGAAGAAGCCAGCGTTCATTTGACTTTAGTTTGAAAATGAGATTAACAGAGACAGAAAGATTCGTACAGGGACTTGGCAAAAGGAAGATGCTCATCCTTACTGGGAACACTTAAAGACATTATATTAGAACATCAAAAACCTTTGGGACAGCAAAACAAAAACGAAGAAGGGACAATGTCATTTCACACTAATAGATATTTTATTTATTGTGGAGGGCAGACAGAGAAAGGACTGACTCACAAGAAGGCATGAAGGACAAAGGGCCAATCTGATACTTCCTGATAAAGGAATTCTCCAACGCGCAGGATCTCCTGTGTTGTTACCTAAGAAGAAAGCAACCCATTATTTGCAATGAATATTTAAAAATTGCTTTCTTCCAGAAAACAAAGTCAGTTATATTCCAAAATCAATCAGTGTTGAGGATGACGTGTTGTGCCAGGTAATCTATTTAACTATTGAATTGTGTTAGTCTATTTAACTATTGAATTGCAGTTCAGAAACTGATGTCATATAATCAACAATGAATGTCTGACTATGGAAGTGTCTAGCATATTAAATCATGTGTAAGCTGTAGGTCTCATTTAGATGTGTTTTAAATCTAACCATGCCTTCATTTTACACTGCAAGGATGTAGCTGCCTTGATGCCCATATAAGCCATGCAAGGCACAAGCAAGGCTGGTCCCTGGAGGGGACACAGTTGATCCACCCATCCAAGCCCAATACTGGGGCACATGTCCTCTGTTCCCTGTAATCTGGTTTGGCAGTCCCCGCCTCTCGCTGCAGAGGTCATGGATCTGACCTTCAACTCAGTGAATGTTTACAGCTGAGAGTGAGCTCTCAGAAGCCTGTGAAGCCACGTCCAGCCTCAGTGTCTAGAGCCACACAGAAAATGGTTGTTGGAGAGCACGTGTGTGCGCATCGGGGAGGCAGGGATGTACTTTGGTATGAAGAAGGGAGAAGCAACGAGAGTTCAAGAGGTTACCACGAAGCAGTTTGTAAAGCTGGAGCTAGCAGGGGTTCTTATCATACCTCAGAAGATACTTCATACTGTGGCTGGGTCTGACATTAGAGAGGAACACAGTTCCTTTCTTTTGAAACAAGTCTCATGAGGTACTTTAAAATTATGTATGTTAAAAAATGTATTCTAAACATGTTAAAATTAATATGAACAAGTGTATTTATTATCTTTAGCTCCAATAGATATAGTAGGTGTGGAAATGTCATGAAAAGGACACGGTAGTGTTCAGTGTTTCTTTATACTCTGAAAATTCTATCAGCAATTTCAAACTTGGCTCAAAATTGTTTTAAAAGCAAAAAATAACACTATTTAAGACATTTATAAGTAATCTTGGATATCAGAAATAAATGGAATAATATCAAATTTCGAAGGAAAATAAAATACAAGCCTCATACTCTTTTCCTACCTAAACATCTAGCATTAACTCATTCTAAAATTTTTAATACAATCCTGAAATGTATGTGGATGTGCATGTGCATATGTGAGACATGCCAAAGAATTAACATACTTACATGCCTCTGTCTTTAAAACCATGGTTTGTTTCTGTGGGGATATTATCAGAAATTATAAATTCTTTTTATGAAGGAGAAGTATCTTCTGAGTAAACATAGCTTACTTAAACAGTGAGAGAAACTCTAAGAAAAATTATGCTATTTCTGAGAGATAGTACTGTGGAGGGTTGAATCTACTTCCGGAAAGGGCTGGCTGATGCCAAGGAACAGGCTGAGCTGTTGTCACAGCAGCAAGTATGAGACAGAGAGAGTGTGAAACGCATGGTGGAGCCTGACAGCGTGTTAAGAACCCAAACTCTGAGACCATTGGCATCCTTCAAAGACTCATCCCTATGCTGACTGAAGAAAAGCCCAACTATTTATCAGCCAGGATAACCCAAGGAGCTACCAAGTAGTAAAACATAAGTAATTATCTATGAAAATGCTTGGAAACTGATATTTCTGTGCATCATTTGGCTGACGATTTTGGTTCTGGGCACTTGGACTGAAGAATTTTCAATTCTCAAATATGCAAAAGTAAAATAATTTTAGTTTGAACCAATATTGAGTGAAACTTCCTTTATAAAACTTGGCCTGTTTACAATGTAACCATTCTTCAGTTTTTTCCTAATTGGGTCAGGCCCAGGAAGGAGAAAGTTTAGCGCTTTCCCCTAACAGGGAGTAACAGATCGCTTGGAGGAAAGTTTGTTAGTAGGAACAATACAGAACCTGACAGGAAGTGACAGAGTAGAGCAAATATAACCAGTGAATGTCATAAAGGCATCTTCAGTGGGTTTTGTAACACTGGTGCTAGATACTCATTCACTTCACGTTCCCTGCTGCTGATTGTGAAAAGTAAAATTGAGTAAGCGAAAACACAGGAAATAACTTAAGCTTGTAATATTGTGGCATGGGCAAAGCTGAGATGGAGAATAGTAATAAGAAAGTATTTGGAGCTCAGGTAAACCACTGGGAAAAAACTGCTGCTTGTAGCCACTGTTTCCCAGAGAGAAGCCTCCTCTCTGCATTTATGGAACAAATAGTTCAATTTTATCTCCTTCCCCAGTTTCCAATCTCTTTTGAATAGAGGAAGACTCCAAATGGAGCAGAGGATGGAAGCAAAGACCAAAGGATTTCAGTGGTCAGTCCAAGTATTGCATCACATGTGGCTGCCATGTTCAAATATTTCCAGGCAAATGTGCACTGTATCATAGTATAAATTGGCTGCGTCCTTTCACTTTGTTTTTGCAAACCTACTTAGAAATGGTTAATGTGAAAATTCCTTAAAGGGATAAGAAAAGGAGTTGGGTTTAGTGATAATAAATTCTACTTCTGTGTTTTGATGTGATCCCATCCCAGAGTCCCAGAGACTTCCAGGGAAGCACAGGGCAGGAAAGATTTTATCCTCTTGAGACATCATTACAGGTGCCAGACAAATGCCTGCCTATTTTATTCACGTGCTATGCCTGAGATTCTTAGAACGAGATAAAGGCCACGTAGAAGCCCAAGTTATGTGACCTTAGATAGACTATAAAGTCATGTTTACTGGCTTCTGTCCCTGATTCTTCATGAATAAAAATTTGAGAATTTTAACTTTTTTCATGCAAAGATAAATTAAGAAAGAACTCTAGGCCAAGAATGATATTTATCTTTCCTAAAGAACTACAGCTTGAGTTTAGAATATGTACCATAAGATAAAATTCTGAGGATGTGAGGTATTTTTTTAAAGAAATCAAATGTAATTTAATAGCTGCAAATCATAAACTTATAGGAATATGTTGAATGTTTTAAAATTAATGTCATCTTTCTATTGCACAAATCTATGTCTGGCATTTACTCTCTATTTATGGGATCTTCATGAAATAACAGAAAGTTTAAATAGATCATTTAAATGGATGCCAAAAATAAACTTGGATAATTCCGTCTGATAATGGATTTCCCTGCCGACTAGCTAGGAAACTTAATGCTCACTACTGCTACAGTTTGGACGTTTCCATCAACCACTCATACGTTGAAATGTTTACTTCTCAGGAGGTTAGAATGTGAGTGCTTTGGGAGGTGATTAAGCTGCAAGAGTGGAGCCCTTCTGATTAGGGTAAATTCTCCTACAAAAGACTTTAGTGAGCTCACTTATTGCTTGCTTTGTTCCTGTCAGGACACAGGAAGAAAGCATCACAACCCAGCAAGGAAAGTTCTAATGAGAATTTGGGTGTTCGCCAGACACTGAATCTGCCTGCCATTACTTTGATGTACACTGTAGGCTCCAGAGCTGTGATCAATGAATATCTGGTGTTTATAAACCATGTCTTCTTTATTCTGAGCTCTCCCCCATAACGCAGTAACAGGGAAGCTAAACAGTAGCGGGGGAGCGGCATGGGGGTTCTGTCTTCCTCACGGTATTGCATTGTGTTACGCGTGGGAAGAAGAGAGAGCTTGGGGGGAAAGTCATGCTAAGTGGCCCTGCTGGAACTGGAGTGTTTGTGAGAGTAAACAGGGTCCAGGCCTTCTTACTATGTGCAGTAAAGAAATGATACTACTTTATGAAAACAAGAGATTATGGTATTGATTTAAAACATTCAACATCTTTCATTAATTTCATTTCATTAACTGTTGTGCTTTTTGCTACATTTTATAAATTTTGGCACCCATATTTTTACAAACTTAAATTAGCAAAATCTTTTTATTTAAGATGCATTGATGGACCAGAAAGCATGGAGGTCTGGTCAAAATTATTTTTTATCAGCCCTCCAGAAAATACTCTGAGCATATATTCCCTTCATTACAGGGTTAGTGGTCAAACTGGGGAAAAACTGGCTGTCATTAAATGTTATCATAGAAAACTAAAAAGATCTCTAAAGATTTCTATGACTTTTGCATGAGATTATTCCTTAGTGGGTATAGCACTAAAAACCCTCCTCTGAAGACACAGAAATTGTACTGAGTTAGCAGTAGAAAAACTAAACAAACAATATAAGGTTATACGAATTTAGTGATACTGTGGCCAAGCAACCTTTGGGAAACTAATAAGGAGAAGACCTAAAAGAATGAGTGTCCTGACTAGCCTTCTTTGTCCTTGTTTGTATCCATACAATTTTGATGTCCTAAAAGTTGCTCTCACTGTATCATGACAAAAAGCCTACTGCAGTTGACAAGCGATTTTACCAGCTGGTAACTATCAGACAGCGATTACTAGAACATACCCTCCTCTCAAACTACAATTCCCCACAATACTGATACAATGTGGATGAATAAATTTCAGTGTCAGATGTAAGATTGGCTGCAAAGCAAGGTACAACTGAAACACTGACTCTTTTTCTTTACTTCAGAGGAGATGATAAAAAAGTGGACAGACCCACTTGGGCAGATCTTGTGGTAGAAACACTAAAGAAAAATAATGATGGCTGGATATCTGGGCCAAAGATATGAGACATTCTCTTGTCATTAAATTTTGCCAAATTGCAAAGTAAATAGATGTCACTACTAGGTGCTGGGCTAATTAGCAATCGGCAGCAACATCTCAAAAATGGAGCGCTTTACTAATCTGTCACTGCAAAACAGAGCAAATAACTGATATTTTCCAGTGAATGTCAGTGCATGTCTTGAAAGCACTGTATAATCACTTTAATCTTACTAGAAAGAAAATGGTTATAAAACTGATATTAGGCTAATTTGTCTGGCATCAGCTGGCATATGAAATCAACCCCAAATTTAAAACTTGTCTCAGGTATCAACTTACCCATCACTGTTTAGAAGCTCCAGAAATTAGACTAACTGAACAACTTTTCTTTGATTAGAGTCAAAATATAGGAAGCTATGTAGAATAATTCAATCATTCTTCCTCTAGTAAGACTTGACTTCCCCAGAACAAAATGGTGCATCAATTAGCTCAGAGAAAAGAGACACCACACATAACATTTTTTTTTCATATCTCTAGTTTAATCAGATAATGTCACTAGCACACGTTCAATTGGTCTGTTGAAATCTGAAAAGAACAAAAAGGTAACATAAATAAAATAAAGACCCTTGTTTGCTCATTGTTTTACCTTTTATGAATGTGCACAAGAAATGTGGTGTGGGATAGACTGATGACATTTAGGATGGAGGATGTTGAACTGAACAAGCTCAAGAGATTCTAGCTGAGAGAGGAACTGGGAATATAGCTCAACTGTATGGAGCCTGCCTGGTAAGTGCAAAGTCCTGAGTTTGGTTCTCAGTACAAAAAAAAAATGTCAAATTTTAGCTAAGAGAATGTTTAGTGACACCTGTCTGTTTAGAAGTTATTGATCGTTATTGATTTTGCTAAGATTTCATAGTAACTTTAGAGAATAAATCATGTAACACAAAACGGTATCCACAGATGTACTGGTTCCCATTATTTAATGTTTTCATTATCAACATTAAATTTCTCAGGAACCTTTCATGTGTAAATACTGATGAATTCATTGGGTTTTTTTTTTCTACTTAATGGTTTTTCCTCTGCAGAGAAAGAAATTAAGTGTATGTACACACACACACACACACACACACACACCCCCCAAATTCTATCTTGTTAATTTGAGAAACCGTAATACTCTAACTTTCCTGGAGAAGATTATAATTATGGCTCCTGTCTTCACACATTATAGATATTAAATACCTGCTTCCTTATTTAAGGTTACAGTGGAGAGCTATACAATGGGCAATGCATTCTATTTAAACAGTGATATAAGTCACTGTTTGAAGTTAACAAGGAAAAATACAGTTTTATGATAAACTGCCTTAAAATTTAGAGGCTTAGCTATTTAATATTTATATGACTGACAGAAGTTTAGTTTTCAAACTCTCCTCTTGCACGGTTACCCTGTTTTATGTTAAACCTCTGAATAACTGGCACACAGAAGCAGGTAATATCTGACAAGTTCAAGGCTTGTGAAGTAGATTGTTAAAGTATTCCAAAATAAAGAAGGAGGCAGATGAAGTGATAAATTATTAATCTGCGTAGGTACAATGTGTTTTCAGACAGTGCGATCTGACACCATGAAGAACTGCTGTTCAGGTAGAAAGGGACGCACACCATGGCAGTGAGTGTTGTCGTGCAACTGTGAGATCTTATAATTGCCCAGAAGTCCTGCTCTATTTCTCACTTCTCCTCCCAGCAGCCTTCCTTTCAGACTCCAAAGCTGAGAAATTTTTTACAACTGCTAAAATCTTTATTAAAAAAAAACAAAACTTTTTTTTTGTCAGAAAGACAATAAAAATGTGCTCTCCAAATAACAGATCATTTCGACATTTCTGGAATGAACTCAGAGCCATCTTACTCTTATCCACTAGAAAGATCTGTTCATTTTTACTACTGCATTTTTCATTTAATGAAAATTAAGAATTGCAGTATAGATTTCAGGTGTCTCACTAAAAGTAGTTATCTAGTATTATGTGAATAATACAGACAAACAAATAATTGCTATAATTTTAGAGGTCTTTTCAATGGGGATACACATTGTTTTAATAGAATTTCTTTCCAATTTGAATATTTTCATGCATAAATAACTGCTTCAGGAAATTTTTGAGCCAGTGAGATGTCAATGGAGGATAAACAACAACCACAAAAAATGAGTCGCCATTGAATAAGTACACATAATATTCTGTTATGACTTAGTAAATAGAGTGGAATATGAAAATATACATCTTAAAAGAAGTCTTTTTCTGTCAGCTCCTGGCTGAAAATATATTGACATACTAACTTGAATATCTGGATGTGTAAAGAGTATAGACATTTTATCTATTCAATCACTAAGAAGTAAAAATTTGATGGCATATACATCTGAACCAAGAAGTTTAATGTTATTTGTATTCTTTGCATAGTACATGTTTTCTTAATATTCAAAAAAGAATGCTACGGATATATTTCAGTCACACAGATCAGCACCCACTGCAAATCACATAGAAGATGATCTTGAAATAAGTGGGATTTTAATTTGGTAGATCCACTGATAAGCAATTTAATTTTTCCCAACTGTCACTTGTATAGCTTGATTTTCAGTTTCAGAATGATAAGAAACACAAACTTCTATTTCTGGTGAACACTAAACGGTTTAAGCCTTCTCATTTCACTTAAAATATGTTTATGGAAAGAAAATAATGACTCTGATTTTGTGAGGCTAGAAATGCATATTCAACAGTGCTATCTGTACACAGATACCATCCTGTGTAAGAAAATAAGAAAAATTTGCTCTATTTTTCTTATAAGTTAAGGTAAATTTTGAATACTTTGATTACAAATTCATAGGAATTTCTTTTTAAGAAAACGGGGTGGCACTTTGTAGTAGCTATTAATATTTAAAGTGGTTTAAAGCAATGACAATATGACCCTACAGGAGCTGCAGGAACTGCTTTGGCTGTAAGCAAATTGCATGCCTTTTATGAAAATAAGAACAACAACAAAAAACAATTCTAATATTTAAGTCACTTTGAGAAGAAAGAAATAGATTTAAAAGGATCATGATTATTTATGGGAGGCCTTCCTCAAGTAATTACCAAAAAAAAAAAGAAAAAAAAAAAAAAGGAAAAAGAGCAGGGTCAGTGGCATGAAAAGTCATGCAGCTGGCAGTGGTAACAGTAATATTTAAAGGTAAATGCGTGCCATGGTATGCAGTGGAGAGTATTAAGCAGTATCTTCCTTTCTAAAATTGGTTTTAATGTTACTGCTTTTTAAAGTAATTTCCTTGTAAATTCATTCAGGACCTTGGTTATACAAAAGGCACTTTTTTAATGGTATTTTGAAAATATCATTTTAGTACACACATACTATTGACAGGCTTTGTTTTGAGTGCAGTTGGGTCCTTGATACTATTTACAACAAACAAGCAGACAAATGAAATCTATTTACTCAGTAGATTCTTTGGCATTTTTAATGTTGACACATATAATGGTGGCATAAAAATATTTTTTGTATATTTTTAAAATTTATATTTTTAATTTCCTGAAGAGCTATTGTTTTGCTCTTGACTTCAGGCAATTATTTTAAAATTTTAAGCACTAATAATATTTTCTCAATATTATTTTCATACATATAACTTATGTGGATATATAACTTATTTTCTCTTTCCTATAGACTTCCTATTGTGCTAACTGATACTTTTAAAGTTAAAATATTAAATTATACCAAACACTTTTTGTACAAAATTTATGTTAAATAACTTGAACTTTGGTAGAAAAATTAAAAAAATAAGAAATTTGAAAGTAGTAAAACAAATTTACTCCATGAAAGAAAAGGAGGGAGAGAGGCAGAAGAGAAGGAGAAAGGTAACATCAAACTTCTAGCTGTATCATGCATGTGTACTGACTGTAAACTACATGTTCTGCAAACATGTACTAATTTTTTAAAAAACAGGAAGCACTGCAATCTGAAATATAAAACACCAGGAAGTTACTGCCCTATTTTACACTTTTAATTAAAAAAAGATGCACTATTAGAAAATAAAAGACGACTAATTGAAAGAAGTTATGTTCTATTTATTTACCTAAAAAAGGGTAGTAGTTTTAGATATAATAAAGTATCAATACTCAATAATATTGCCAATATTGATCTTTTAAATAAATATTTACATTAGCATTTTTCATTTTTACCAGTTACTGGAGGCATTATAATTGTTCATTGAAAAGTAAATCTATGGACCAAGTATAAAACCTCCATACAATATGACATTACTCAGCATAAAAAAATACAGAGCATTGATACATACCATGGCAGGGGTGAATCTCAAATGCATTCTGCTCTATGAAAGAAGCCCATTTTAAAGGTTACACATGGTATGATTCTTTTCATGTGACATTCTGGAAAAGAAAAAAAAAGTTATAGAGACAGAATAAATCAAGAACTTTCAGGAATTAAAAGTATGTGGTATAACAGAATATAAAAAGCTTTATAATAAGAGTCTCTAAATGAGCAGAACATCCCTGCTGGTGGTGGTGTTTATAAGAATCTATCCATTTTCTAAAGTTTATGGTTGTGTTCACTGAAAAAGAAAGATAAGAAAGAAAGAAAGAGAAAAAGAAAAAGAAAGAAAAAAGAAAGGAAGGAAGAAAGAAAAAAAGGAAGAAAAAGAAAGAAAAGGTGCTGTCCCACAAACATTGAAACTAGCTAAAAGAATACTTTAATAGAGCTAAGTTACTAAATTAGTTGCTTTAATCCTTTTGTTGTAGTCAGGGATTGTGCAGAGAAAAATTAGAATCAAGACATGGAGTTTATAATACTGTTTTATGATGGTCACCCAGAGTTAACAAGAAACTGCAGGAAATCTATCCGCAACACTAAAGACAGAATATTTAGCCAAGGGCTTAAATCCCACAACAACGTCCCACATGAGTCCAGATGAAAACCCAGAGCTCACAACAATGCCTCCCACAAGTCCAACTGGAGATTCAGAGCCCACAAGAAGGACTCCAGCCAGTCTCTTAACGGATCCGTGTTGGGAAGGCCCAAAGGTCAGTGGGGGAAGCCAGAAAGTCCATACCAGTTGGGTGAAAGAGCTGTGCTGGTGGGATGAGGGTTCTATGCTGGAGCCGAGAAGTCACACTCACAACAAACACCAGGACTGTCCTGAAAAGCACAACAGCCATGCTCAGCAACACGGAGTCCACAAACTCCTCCTCCAACAAGCACAGTCAGGTATATGCCAGGAAACCAGCGTGATGAGTTCATCCAGGAGACCAAGTGACACATGTCTTCCCCTCCAGAGCCAGGGGACAATGCTGGGTGTGAGGACCAAAACTTCTCCAGAAGAACCTAACAGCTCAAACAGCAACACGTAGAAGAACACACAATGCCTCAATGCACTTCAACGCAATAGCTTCTCCTTCTCCACATCTCTATTTATGCTGCCAACTTTCCTCAGGTGGTACATCTACACTCAGTGCCATGGTGATATAATCCAGCTGGCATTAAGTTGACCACCAGCTTTTAATCCATAACACCTTTTTATAGTTTTTCTATTGCAGTTTTTCATATACACTAATATGTTCTAATTTCATTATTATATATATGTAGTTCAGGAGTATAAAGTATAAATGGAAACATATTTGTGTTGTGATCAACTTGCTTTTTCAGGAGAAAATTCTTTTTGTGCCTCCATAAAGCCTTCTAAGCTGGGCATGCTGATACCACTGGGTAACTAAATCAGTACAAAATTTAACATCACTTCACTTATATTTATTGCTCGATTACCTTACAACTTCAGTCAGTTCCTTGTTTAGGTCTTCATATGGGCATGTTAATTAATTAAGAAGTGTCTAAAAACTAGCAATAAAAGATTCATTAACTTTGAATTTATCCAACCAACCTTGTCTACCTTTAAGACAGACACCAATAGGACAGTTAGGGTAGCTCTACTTACAGAAACTTCCAACTGCCAGCTATAAAAATGTCTACAAATCTGCCATTGCCCTGAAATTACAGTCATGGATTGCAGGAAAAATAGAGTCTTGCAGACCACCTAGTAATGCAGAACCCCTACTCCAAGCTGAAGCAGTTGCCCTGAGAAGGGAACCAGTGCTGCTCCCCACACTGGAGCAGTCATCTCACGTTCAGTCACCCAACGACAGCTCTTCCAGTACCTGGCAAGGCCAGTCCAGAGGTGTTGATGCGCCAGATCAGAGCTTGCACACAATTAACTACCCTGCCAACACTGGCTGTGAAAGACCTTGTTCTTGCCTTGCTCCATTTTTATATAAAGCCCAAAATTTCTGCCAGCCCTTCAAAGGCAGTTCTTACACCTCTCTGTGCTTCCCAGCATGGACATATTGATGGAAGCTCCTCCCTGTCACATCCCTGCTTCTTGTCTCCCTGTTCAGTATTTGGCATAAGAAGCTGGGCATAGCTATGGGACTTGTCTAGCTTGGACTTTCACCCTAAAACTCTTATAATAATATTGCTGCTAAATAGGAAGAAACACTCACAGGAGATTGGGTACTTGAGAAACAAGCAGGTTTATTAAAACCAGCAGACAAAAAGAACAGGTAAATGGGGCTGAAGCTGTCGATGAGTAGTCTTTTGTACTCCTGAAGTTTTATAACCTCTTATGGAGTCGCCAGTTCCTTGGTTATCATAGCGACCACATTACACCACATCACTTCATTGGAATGTCACAGGACCCTTATACAATCTCCTTCCTCTATATCTGCCCCTTTAATCACAAGGGCCAGGGACAATGGTCATCCTGACCAGTGTGTGCTAAAACTGTTTGTTCCTTATCTAACTGCTTGGTTTTCTTTAATTCCTGGCTTACTATATGGGAGCAGGTTTCAGAAGTAAGGTGACCTAAAGTTTAACTACAAGTTAAAATGGAGAGGAAGAAAAATATGGAGTACAGCTGCTTTCATTGCTTCTACAACAGTGCCACAGATAAATGTAATCCTTATCTGGCTTCTCTCTCTATTTATTTAATTTTTACTATCTATAATCTAGCAGTCATTCTTATGTTAAGACAAGTGAGATTTATGGTAACTAAAATTATTGCAAATAGCCATTTTTCTTCTAGAATGCTTCAAATATTCTTTATTTTAGTTAGTAGTTATTTCTTGATCTTATTATCACACAGTAAGTTAATGTATGAAGTATAGTGTATGTTTCCAGGTTTTTCCTGAAATTTTAATAGATCAGTATGTATCATGATTACTCTAGCCTTATGAAAATTTCTATGTCATCTTCCTATGAGGTTCTGAGGAGCTAGGGATATTTTGCAGAGATTCTCTTTAAATGCTTCTTGTCCTGGGCAAAGAAGTGCACAAAACGAGGAACATAGGTAGCAAATTTTTACAGTTTTTTTTTTTTGTTGTTGTTGTTGTTGTTATTGTTGTTGTTGTTGTTGTTTGATTTCGTTTTTTATCAGTACCGGGGATCGAACTCACGACTGCCTGCTTGCAAGGCAGGTGTTTATGCCACTGAGCTAAATCCCCAGCCCCAGTTTTACACTTATTAAAGGTAAGAAAAGAAATATGCTCTTTCCTAGACCGTCTCTTTCCCCTGCAGTACAGAAGATACCAAGACAGAGCAACCACAGTGACTTTCAGGGCTTCCGGGACACCTACTGTGAGCTTGTACAATGTGTGGTTCCAGACCCCTCTGCAGCAATACCTAGAAGTCTCCAAATATACTGTAACCTAATTTTTCAAGAAAAGCAGAGCCCAGCAGACCACCCCATGATGAACTCACCTCCCCTGGCAGAGCAGAAACAATTACTCTTTGACAGGAACCTAGGCAGACCTTGTCTAAGTAAGAGGAGATCATTTCCTGAAAACCAAATCGTCCCTCAAGCTACAAGGATTCCTCCAGAGATATGAGGCTCCAGTCAATCCCTTAAAGGGGTAACTTTTCTTTTTTATGAGCAGGTCAGTCTGAATCCCTGCATCATAAGAGTTCCTTTCTGTTGCTGAAGTTTGATTCCTTTTCCTGTTCTTCCTTACTTTTAAGTATGCTGCACACTGAAGTGTCTTGAAATTCTATTTCCATCATGTGAATAAAGCACTATAGGCTTAGTCCTTTTAGAAGCACCTCCTTAGATGCCATCCAGTAATGAAAGTATCTATCCTTATTTCTAGCAGTTAATTAGTTTAATGAGGTAACTAATTAGTTTAACTAGATCACATCTGAAATATAATAGGTTCTCAATAAATTTTGGTTATGATTACCAATGCTTCTAATCATAGTGATAAAACACTTTTACTTCTCAAAAGGTAATATTGTATTGTTACTATCTCGGTGTTTTATCTGAATATCTATCTGTTATTTCCAATCTACTCATGATAAGTAAAGTTGCTAGGAGATATAATAATTAATAATAAATTAGCATATGTAGAGTATGTTGAAGTCTGGTGGTCCAGACCTACAATACCAACAATATAGGCAGCTGAGGTAGGAGAATCACAAGTTTAAACCCAGCTTGGAAAATTCTGTAATTTTAGTGAAACTCTGTCCTGAAATAAAAAATAAAGGGTTGGAGATGTAACTCAGTGCAAAGGCCATGGTATCACAAATAAATCATTACCATCAAATTAAAAAGTGGAGTATGTTGATGCCACAAACAACCTCAAACATCAATATTTCTGTTATTCCTTATATAATGTCAGTGATGTCAATAATTTCAGATACAATTCCATAAGAAGTGCTACATCAACTCTGCTAAAACTGATTACCAATGAAGCTGTATTTCATTCAAATATTTAGTTTTTAAGATCTTCATACTTATTTTAATTTCCATAATATCTTCCATTGGACACATTTGCTCAATGCCATAGTTCACCTACTCAGTTGCATAATTCATTTGAAAATGTGGGTAGGTTGATTTTTTTAAGCACAAGGATTGCAGGAAAAATATGCTACTTACACTTATAGAGAACACTTTTAACAGTTAAGAGTTGAAAGCAGATTTCTCAGTAAATACCATTTAAATCATTAAAGTTGCATTATTTAACAAAAAGACCACAATAGTCTTAACAATCTCTCCTAATGACTAAACTTTAGTAGGCTTCTTCCTGAAGTAGGCTTTTAGCTTCCTTTTTTTTTTTTTTTTCTTTTTATAGAATTTACCACAAAACTTAAAATTGCAAGTTCTCTGCCCCTTTGAAATTTGCCTTAAAAGAAATGTTCATTCTGATTTTATGATCCAGGAAATGTTTCTCAATGCCCTTGAATTTTTTAGGAATGTGCACATGGCAGAAGCCAGGGTCTCCAACTCCAGGTTTCTGTGAAATGGAAGAGCCTAACATCCTTGGGCACCATACTCTAAGTTGTAAAACTACCTTGAATCGTGAAGAAGGAAGGAGAAACTTCTTTTCCT